TTTCTGTATAAGATGGAAATATTAGTATAAAATATATGGTGCGACCTTTACCTTCAATATATCTGTATGAAGAGTTTGTTAGCATCAAAATACCTATGACTTTTGATGATATGGAAGAATTCGCCAAAAGTATGCAAACCCTTATGGATTTTCAGGTAACGGATGATGTTAAATATTTATAGATGTTTCTTGCATGGAATTGATGGTACTTTGTTTTTACTGTCATAGGTTGATGTCTTGCGGACTGTTAAGCTGATGAATAAGAAACAAATTGAGGATCCAAAGGTGTATAAATCCGAAGTTAAAGACACGCCACAAAAAGACCGAGAAAAAAAGAAAGTCACTAATAATACCTTGCCTTCATACCCTGAGTCACCCTTTCCTGGATTACCAGGTGAAGATTTAATTTGATTTATTTACATGTGTGGAAATTTATCATCAACGTCCATGAATATAATAAAAATGTGTTAGCATTTAGCCGTTATCTGTAGTACCAAGTTTTACCCACATCGGGCTTGTATTTTTTAACATGTGTACGATTTGTTCTTGTATGTACACCGGAAAAATAAAAATACATGTAATAAATATATAATTGTGTTACTTCTCTATGATGTTCTGATGAAAATTTTTCATGGCAAATTTTCTCCGCGTCATGAGCACGTGACCTTCACATATTTCCCTCTTCACGCCTTCCTCACCCACTTCTACATTTCACTTTGGCTGAAGAAAGGTCAACACACACGATGGCAGATATTGTGAAAGATCTAGATATGGAAGAACTTATCGATAATTTACAAAGGCGGAATCTAAAGCTTAGTGAGATGCATTTCAATATTTTTCGGCAAGAGATTTCAGAACAAAAATTGAGAAGTTATTCAATGTATAAAACTCTCGACAACTTGAAAGAAATGTTTCGCAAGAATAAGGTTAATGGAGATGATATAACGAATTTAAAACAGTTCATTCCTGGTAAGCGATTTTTTGAACGTCTCGCAAATTTTCATCATATAAGCACCTTAGTATGGATGTGCTTGCTCATGCTATGACTGCATATTTTCATTTGTAGTGGTCGAGAAAATAGACGATAATGATAAAGCCTTCAATCACTGCATAGACGATATAATTCTGAAATTATCGAATATTGAGATGATGACCGATGCCCAACGAAGTGACTAGATGTGAATTTATTTCAGCCATTCTTCATGCGTCGATTGATATAGCTAAAAGTCGTACCACCAAAGATATTTTTATTACATTGCAGAAGGATATATCAGGTGAAGAGTCCACGGGTAGAGTCGATTATACAATCAAGACTATTGAGGATCTTCTTTGCGTCACCGAGGATAAACCACGTAATGTAAGGATCGGTTATGCTCAGAATTTGCCCGAGCTCGAGAGTGCATACCAGACCAATAAGAAAAAAAGAACGGCGGATCAAGTATTTGGAGGGGATTGTTTTGATTATCTCTATGGAATTGTGTCGACAGGTATATAATTTTTCTTAATGGTTGGTCAAAGGGTGACGATCAAAATCATGTGGTTTATTGCTAATTATCGATTCGTTCTCAGCCATGGAATGGCATTTCATCATATATACTCCAGATGGAATATATGCCACGAGTAATAGCGAACATCAGATAAACCTCTCTAAAACCGCGATCAAAGAAAATCTGGACGTGCTTCGAGGCGGTGTGAAAAAGGTAATCGGGATTATTGTTGGGGTATTAAATGACCGAATTAGTGTTGATAATTCCCTAGCCAGTAAGAAGGCTAGGATTAAAAAATTTACAAAGTAATTGGTAGATTTTCCTCCACATGTATATAGTAATAGCCGTGCTATTTTTATTTGTACTAATAAAGACTTTTTGCCAACATCAACATGATTGGTTGATTTAACTACTATTTTGGGATTTGTATCGGAGCAGAGCTAGTGTCTCTGACACATAAAAAGAAATTAATTAGGTTAGTTAGAAGATCGCTTTGTTGTTTGAATTCATCATACATTTGTGATAACTGTCGAAGTTGGTGCTATGTCCGATTGCTGATGTCAACATGACGAACAAACAATTATTGATCTAATTAACACGTAAGGTGTAAAAAGTTCTGGCAATTTCTGGTCCTTTACCGTCCAAGTCTAAATAAATTCCGATCTTTGATTTTTATATAAAAAGGTGGAGAAAAAATATCTGTGACCCTTTACCCCCTTCGTTATAATAAAAAGATCCATACACTCGAAAATGTATCTAATTTCTAACGATCAAGGTTTGTTTATGCTATGATACTTTCCCCGCATTCGTGTATGTATACTAATACGACCAACTCTCACTTATAGATGTCATCGCTTGCCATTTCGGGAATCGCTCCACTTTTGGACTTCGCCGGCCTATTGTTATTCGTGGAGAAAATATCAATTTACTTGATCGCTGGTGCCACGTTTTATTTTTTACGTACTACGTTTAATGAATTTCTTGCCAATTGTGATGCCAGGTTCTTAACCGATTACCGTGCAAAATTTAATACTGAACTTACCTCACGCGACGAAAACTTTATAGCGGAGATCCAAAGAATCGTGACAATGCTTAATACTTCTACTGTGAGACTTGATGAGATCGAACAAGTTCTTCAAAACCACCATAACAATTTTGGTAGGGTCGCAACCGAATTCGAATCAATCAATAGATCTATTACAATTCTCCAAACCGAAGTTAATCAACGATACTCTCTTATCCAGAGTACTAATAGGAGAGGATCAGACCAGCAAAGCGAGGCTTCGTCATCTTCTGCTCGTTCATCAAATTCCTCAAACTCAAGCCAAAAACTCGCGAATATCATTTCTGTAATCCGAGAACAGTTTCAGGCTATCTTTGATAGAATTAAGGGTGCGAATGATTATACATTCGATCAGATGTGTAATGTTGTATCGGCTGATATTCTTAAGCTTGGGATGGGAGCAATTGGAAAAGATACAATAAAGAGTTTTTACAATGGGGGTAATATAAGAAGCGAAAACTTAGGAAAGATAGGTGCTTGGATAGATAACAGTTACACCACTACTGAGTAGCAGGAAAGGAACTGCCATTATATGGGTTAGGGCTCGGCAGGCTTAACAAGCAGGTGTTTTTATGCCTTTCCTCCCTTGAAACATCCTGCTACTCTATATTTTTTACTTAGCCGATCTCTAACTCTCTCAATATATTCATTTTAAAAAAATCAAAGATATGGTTTTAATTATTGTATACTGAGTTGTCTTTTGTGTCGCTAACTATTGTTATTTCTTGGCAAAAGTGATCGGCGTGACAATTTGTCTACACTTGAAATAGATATGCAACGATAACAATCCAATCTGTACTAAAATTGAATCGTATTATTCTAGAGTATAAAGTTATTAAATCAAATAGGTAAGTCTAAATATCCCAATCGATAAATATGTCTGGTTTTGATATCGCTACTATCATTGATAAAAAAGATAAAACACTTTCTAAACCATATATTAATCGTCCTGGTTTTGATATGAAGTATACTGTATCATATATATTACATTATGTCGGAACTTATGCTAATGAACTCAATCAAATTTTCGATAATGAGAGATTATTTGATACATTATCTATCATAAAACAGAATGAAACACCGGTTCAATGGGCAATACGGATCAGAGTACCTTTACAGAATTTATTAAATGCCGGAAAATTTAGTGTATATCACCGGCTATGTTTATTTGCATCGTTTGGTAAAGGTAAATTTGTCAATTTCAACTATTATAGACCAAGAATCCATAAAAGTCATGTGGCTATTTGTTTTGGTTGCTGGAAACTCATAAAAATCGATAATGTGAATCCTAAAAAAATATTCCATTTTACTAGACAGAGGTAAGTTGATTATCTCGAATCTAAAGACCTGATGCAGAAATATTAGGATCATGAATGCAATAAATCAAAGACTAATTTTGGAAAAGCAAGAATTATACAAATAGCTTATTGAAATTATAAGAATAGATCCGAATCAATAGCAATCCAAGCTTGGAATGCAATGAGAAATGATGGTACTTCTAATGATGAGAAATTTCTAGGTTTAACGAGATGTAAAGTAAAAAATCCTCAGACTCAAGAACAATTTAATCAACGGCATACTAAATGGATTGAAATATATAAAAATGATCCTATGATACGCAGTTCTATTATTAATAGATAATATGAAGAATATTATATTCCAGATAATTGGATAAGTTCTAAAAAGAGTCAATTACAGGTTAGATTCTGAAAGCGACTTTTAGAAATAGAGGCATAGATTTTATTTTATTATTCTGAGGGTCAGTAATATTTTTTAGTTTGATTTCTATATACATTTATTTTATCCGACATAAAAAACCCTCTTGGTACAAATAGAACTTATTTATTTTTCAACATCTACTTCAACCTCAATCAGGCTGGATACTGATAGCTATTTCATTGGAGAATAGTAGCAAATAAGATGTTAAAACCATCACTTTAACTTCAAATCGGCAGGATCGATCAGCTTCTCAATAATATAAGAAGTGGCAGATAGATGTATTATGTTAATAGAATAAAATTACAACTAAAAAATATTCAATTATCAAACTAATCATATAACGTGATTTTATCCCAACCCATATGGATCACAGAATCTAATCTAATATTAGCTCTAATATCAGTTTTTTGCTTAATAGAAAGTAGATTGATTTATCAGAAATAAATGGGTATTTCTTTGTATTGAGAACTAGTAAATTAGAATAGTGGTGTGCAATTTCATATATTGTTTTATTGGTGATATAAATATATTGAAAACTAAGATTCCGAATATCTGAACATGAATGGACTATATTACATACAGCATCATTCATAATTTTATAACAGGAAATAAGATTAATATTTTGTAGGTTTTTATTTAAATCTGTAATTTTTTGATTGATTTGTCGGTAATCCATTCATAGTCTTCGAGAAAATAATTTCACATATCTGGACAGCCAGTTGCAATCACACATATAGCTTTATCCGTAATTATTTCATTGAACGACAAATCCAGGTATTGAAGATTTACACATGAGCGTGCAATTGCACGAATTAATTCATCATTAATAGAAGGTTGTCCATTGAGGTTTAAATATACTAGATTGGAACAAGATCATGCTATTTCAATTATAGACGTACTGGAAATATTAGTATCTCTATACAAAGAAGCGAGACTTATGTATTTTAAATTTGGACAAGATTGTGCTATTTCACTAACACATCTATTGGTAATAGCTGTACACGCATCAAGACTCAGATGTAGTAGCTTCGGACAATATTTTATAATTTCTATAATTGGTATATTACTAAAACCATGACTTCGATCGAGGATGAGAAAGTTTATATCTGAACATGAATGCAGAATTGCACTGAGTAATTTATCTGAGATTTTTAAACCCACCATTTTGAAATATGCCATCTTTGAGCAATATGGAGGTTTTGTCTTTTTACACATAACTCTTTTAAACCTTCTTAATTACCAATAAAGAGATCCAGACGTATCTTTACTATACCAATTCTGCTGATAACCTTCTATAGAAAACTCAATGTATCTCCATAGAATCGGGGCACTGCAGTGATACCAAAGTCTATTGACAAATAATGCTGGATAGAGTGCTTTATTCTTAGCCAAGAAACTGAATATATTTTCAAGTAACTCCGGAAGAATAAGAGGGTGACTCATATTTGGTTTTTTATATAAGCACAGTTTGTATAAAAGATAAAAAATTTATTGCATCTCTGAAATCTTGCTCTATTGCGGAGCAATAACTCTTCATATCTACTTATTAGAAAGATCAAGAGGTTGGTCCCATCCTTTGCGAATATAGAGCAGATTCTCTTTTGCTCTAATTAAATCAATAATAATAAATTCTCTACCTTGCAAATTTTTATCAAGTATATTGACAACATCATGCCATTTTTTTGTATATCGTCAGGCAATGTTAACTAGTTCATCGTATGTCCCACTGCCATTAAAGAGAATAATATAATCAAGATTTTTTCTTATTAATTCTGGACAATCAAAAAAGCTTTGTGTTATATATATATTACTAATATTTTTATAATGCTCTTCAGTAAAGTAATGAGCAATTTTTTCTTGTATTTTTTTAGGTTTGGTACACACATTTTCAAATATAGTTACTGTTCCTCTTTCAGGAGAGAAGTCATCAACTCTTGGTATTTTATCAGGTTTCATTGCTCGGAATATAACATCTTTACGATATGATTTGTGGCTATTCGCAATTATTTTATAGCAATCTCAGAGATATTTATACTTGGACTCATTAATTTGATGACCGATCAAAACCAAATCATCATTCTTAATATATCTTATTCCGCCTTTTTTTCCACTAAACAATCGATATATTTTATTCCTGAGTAAAAGATTGATAACTTCATTAGTTTTTCCTGATCTCATTCACCCGCTGACTAATAAGTTAAAAGGCCATTGAGATGTACTATTAAGGCCATTAAATCTCTCTATATTTTTGTATTCATCAATATTCAAAACCATCCTTTCAACAGGGTCGAGCTTTTCTATTTCCATCTCGATCAAGCTGTCACTAATTATTATATCTGAAAAAATATTAATTGAACCAGATAAGTATTTAGAGTTTTATCTTTATTCACATCTAAGATGAACATTTACAGATTTAATTTTATCTTGTAAATAACCTTTCTCAATTAAAATATTTCAAATAAATTCATATAAATCAGCAGAGTAAGGGATTTCAATGAGATCTATATCTTGCTCCTTGCATATATTCCGCTTTTTTTGGTCGCATGATCTTTGTGAATCTAAGTCAGCCTTGCCTCGCTTATGGAATATTAGATTCTGATGAAAATGTTGAGATCCTTGATATTTATATGCTAATTTTAACTCTTCATTATATCCGTCTAATTGTATCCCATTCAAAAATGACGGTTTACAAGATGGGAATTTCTTATCTAACAAATCCTCAAAAATATATTGACATCTTTGCTCATCAGTATGATAGAAGCAAAGTGGATACTATTCAAATTTCGTAGCTATTAATGGATATGGATATTCCCACTGATGTTTTTCATTCTCACAAGATCAGAGATATATATCGAAACCATTTATTTGACCAGTTTTATTAAGACATTTTCCATTACGCTTCTTTGCATACTCTTCAGCCTTAGCCATTTTATTAATAATATGAACAAAATTGATAGATCTGGAATAAGTTTTTTCTTCCAATATACTCTGGGGTGGATACTGAAGTATGTCAATATTTACGTGCATAAGCTCTTCTTTCACAAATCCACGCTTTGGAGCATATTCATCATCATCATCTCCAAGATAATATAAAACCGGTTCATTTTTCATTACTACAATTTTTCGAATTTTATGTAAAGAAAATGAAAACATCGGATCCATAGCCCTTTTCTGATTTTTCATATCTCCTTCCCACTCTGCATTAGCAAGCAGGTAATGAACTGTATCATCTTTCTTCAACATATTCTCCTCATATTTTCTAACAGGACATTTATATTTTGTAGATGGTCTAGATTCAACCTTTTCTAATTTAATGGCTTTTATTGGAGCTAACTCCCACTTCGAGGATCCAGGAGCTCTAATAAGATGTGTTGGATAATTATTTAAATAATCTATTACTTCTGGCAAATACTTAACCCATGCTCTTATTAGTTTAGGGTCTGAGGATATACTTTCAACACTATATTGGATTTTATAAAGCATTTCCGCAAGTGTCTTACAGAATCTGTCTACAATTGCTAGACCCCGATGACTATATGTGCCAATCAATCTAATTGTTACATTATGTTCTTCCATTATTTTACTTGTCTCACCCATCCATTCATGCCCTTGGTCGCATTGTAGAAGTGTTGGCCATACAAGTGGATTTGACGGATCATTATAAATTTTTTTGAAGGCTTTGGCAATGTCTGAGCTATTTTTTGATGTAAGAGGAACAGCGCATTTAAAACATGATGCAACATCTATAATAGTGAGTGCCTATTTATATGTCTTTTTATTAATAATATCATT